CGCTGGCTGTGAGCGCTGGTGTCCCTGCCGCCCCGGTGTGCCCGTCCCCACGGCGCCCGGCCCTGAGCCTGCCCTTGTGCCCGCAGTCTGCGCCTTGCAGTGCCAGCAGTTCCTCGTCTCCAAGGTGGGTGAGGACTGGGTCTTCCTCATCCTCCTGGGGCTGGTCATGGCACTGGTCAGCTGGGCCATGGACTTTGCCATCGCCACCTGTCTGCAAGGTGAGTGGGCACCGGTGGGCTCCCCGAGGCGGGCAGGGGGTGGCCGTGCCACAGGGTTGTGCCATGCCTCTTGCCCTGCCTTGCCGGCTGTGCCCACAGCCCAGAAGTGGATGTACGGGGGCCTGGACACCAATGTGATGCTGCAGTACCTGGCCTGGGTCACCTACCCCACTGTGCTCATCACCTTCTCGGCCGGCTTCACCCAGATCCTCGCCCCCCAGGCCGTGGGTAGGGCACTGGAGGGGCTGCCTGTGCCCTCGTGGGGTGTCCCCTCCCTGGGGCTGTGGATTGGGACCTGCATGAGTGTCCTCCTGGGCTATGGGGTTGGGGATCCTGAGGGTCTTCCAAGAGCTATGGGCTGGTCTTCAGAGGATGTCCTGGAGGCTCTGGTGTGGATGTCCTCCTGGGCTATGGGACTGGAGGTCCTGGGGTCTTCTAAGAGCTATGGGCTGGTCTTCAGAGGGTCTCATTGGGAGCTAGTCCTCCTGGGCTATGGGATTGGGGGTCCTGGGGTCTTATAAGAGCTATGGGCTGGTGTTCGGAGGGTGTCCTGGAGGCTCTGGTGTGGATGTCCTCTTGGGCTATGGGGTTGAGGGTCCTGGAGGTCTTCCCAAGACTATGGGCTGGTCTTCAGAGGGTCTCCTGTGGGCTGTGGCACTGGGGTCCCCACAGGGCCGAGATGTTGCTACGTGGCCATGAGTCTGTTCCTGCAGACTGTGCTGTGGGGAGAGGTGTCTCTGGGGTCTCCCTGTGGTAGAGGGGGGGTGACAGAGCGTCAGGAATCCCCTGGAGCTATGGGGCAGGGGGTGCCCAGTGTGTGCCCCCCATGACCATGGGTCAGGGCTGTCCCCACGGTGCCAGGCTCGGGGATCCCTGAGATGAAGACCATCCTGCGGGGCGTCGTGCTGAAGGAGTACCTCACCCTAAAGACCTTTTTGGCCAAAGCGATCGGACTGACGTGTGCTCTGGGCAGCGGCATGCCCCTGGGCAAGGAGGTGAGGGCAGTGCCCCCGGGGCGGGCGGGGTGACGGGGAGGCCACCGTCCTCAGCTCTGCCGCTGTCCCCGCAGGGGCCCTTCGTCCACATCGCCAGCATGTGTGCGTCCCTGCTCAGCCGATTCCTCTCCCTCTTCGGGGGCATCTACGAGGTGAGCGGGTCGGGCTGGCCTCGGGGGCTCCGCCTGTGCCCCCCGGCGTGGGGGGAGCGGTGCCCACTCACC